GAAGAAACAGTCGAATATGGAGGGTCGAATATCATACTTCAACTCGTATAGCTACAGTAACATTAGTAGATTACTACATAGCGTTGTGAAGACAAGCCTTTTCTTACCTTTCGCTTCACTCAGCAGTCTTTTCCATGCTTCTCTACGCTTTCCCAGGCGAGCTTCTCTTTCCTCAGCAGTCTCCTCGAGCAAACGTTGTCGTCTTCGCTCCCTCCTCTTCGCTAGACGTTCGGCTTTCTTGTCGTTTCCTTGCCGCTCTTCATTTGGCTCCATATCTTTTCAATTGGTATTTGATACCGTAATTGTTTTATTAAACTTTTTATAGAACAAATTGCTTTTAAAGCTGTCAAAGTTTTTTGCAAACGTACAAAATACTGTAGTGTAAAAAGCAAATTATTTTCATGGAGTATCTGTCAGTTGAAGTCGTCATTTGTCATACAACAACAAATTTTAAATTTGACCAATCAGTGTTCGCTATCCATGACAGTCCGCCATATTTTTGAGATCAGTGAGGATAACCACCCACTCAACACCGTTGGTCACCCACGCCCGCGATATTTGATGAACTTTAGACTCCGCTAATGCTTTCGTTTCCCCGGGTGTAAATAGCCGGGGGGAATTAGTACCCTCGCACGGCGCTTCGCGCCGCCGGCTCGGGGAAAACGCTTTACGTAGAGTTTCGTATTGAATTTTACATTAACATAAAGCCTATAGAACCCAAAATATTTTACCTACTTTATGTTTTTAGAAATTGATAGTTCTGTGTTTAAAAGTGTTCAAATTTCATCTATTTTTTCCCGGTTTGTACAAAAATTTAAAAAACAATTATCGTGTAACGTGGCAACGCGAGTCTGCGTTCAGTGTTGGCGTAATTACGAATACTTCATGTTGAAACAATGTTTGGAAAATATAGGCGAGGGGTTGTTGCATGTATGTATTTCTAGTACATACATATAATTGCTACAGAAACTTATTTATTTATTAACTTTACAATCATAGAAAAATTATAACAATGATTGAAGGTATGGTCAACAGGACATGAGTCCCATGTGAAGACCAACCTGATACAATACAATAAGTAGACATACATTAAAGACAAGGACTAGAACACTGTTTACATAGCTATATAAAAATTAATAG